AAATCACATAGTACATTAAAAACAATGACTCTTATCTCCCATAAACCATTCAGCAAAATCTGGAAATAGTGTTGTGGCTCAAGTGTTAGAACACTCATCTTCCACAAAATAAAGCTCAAGCAGAGTGCCCAAGTCCTGAGTTCAAGTCCTAGGACTGGCAAAAATAAGATAAAAAATTTTTAAATAAAACATTACAGTCTATGGCTTTGTCCCTCTGTTATTTACTCAGATTATAAAATACATTTATAGTTCTACATTTACCTAACAAAAGTGCCTTTGAGCTATGAGAATTTTGTATTTTATGATTAAACTATCTAAAATGGGAATATTATACCTACAACAGTATGTCTAATTCTTGACTCTGGAGGTGCACCTCGAGGGTGGATTGCTTGCCTAGAAAACACAATCCCCCCGGCCCCCAATCTAGACACCTAGCACTGAGAAACAAACAGAAACTACATCTCTTCCCACTTCTACTGTGAGCCTACTTAAGATTAGCTATATGACAATATAAAGGAAGAATATGAAAAGTTAAGTGATATAATGCTTATACTTTCATGAAGGATGTAAATATTCATAGAGTAATAAAAAGGTATATTTTCAAGCCTGTTTTTAATCAAGAAGATTACACAAAGAAAGTAAATGGGTTGCTATAATAAACCCAAGCATAAATACAAAGAAAATTTTATGGGGAAAGCACCTCCAAAAGAATAGTTCATATAGTCATAAGAATGTAATCCCTGAAGAGCCTGGGGTATTTTCCACAATTTCTATCACCTTTCTCCCTCCTAAAAACAGAGACTAAAAATCTTAGAAATAAATCTGGTTCTGAGTTTAGCTGATAAAATTAGAATATTATTTAAGGGGATATAGAACTGCTAACTAATTATATGGTACCTTCATAGACTCACTACTATATGGCTTACCTATATACCTTACCTGGCACTTTGCCTAGAGGATATTGTCTTATATAAAATAACTTGAAACTAATTACCTTTGCAGATAATATGAGCATAAAAACTGCTCCTTTATCTTAGAAGCATTCTAAAATAATGTTCACATAAAATTGTGCTGTTTCAAGTGCTTTTATAACAATCAACAAAGAAATTCAATAGTATAGTTCTGATTTTCTCCAAAATTATATATTTGGTTTTACTACATTTAGAAAAATATCAGGTCATTTATAAGGTTGTTAATTAATACCATGTGGACAATGTTAAAATTGGTGTGGCAAGATAGCTCATGCTTATAGTCCTAACCACTTGCAGGGCTGAAATTGGGAGGATTCAGTTTGAGGCCAAGTGGACACAATATTTGTGAGACTACATCTTACCAGAAAAAATCTCAGTGCAGTGGTATGTATCTGTCACTTTAATAGGAGTATTATGTAAGTAAGGCCCTGTGTAAAATAATCAAAGCAAAAAGGGCTAATGAGAATGGCTCAAGAAATGAATTGTGAGTTCAAACCCCAGTAGCACAAAAAATAAAAATAATAAAGTTTTTTCTGTTTTCCATTTCAAGATTTTGTGCTAATTTGTTTTTAGAATGCTGATATTGATGCTACACCAGTGAAACAAAATATATTACCAATTAATTTCCTAACAAAGCCTTGTATTTATCAAAACCTTGTATCTAATAAATCCAATGTCAAACACAAATATCTTAATAATAAAGATAATAGTCTAGAGAAATGGTGAATGTCTATATTATGCTTACTTACTTCTGACAGTGTAGATTGGGTACTCACTGTATTCTTACTAGAAGAAATGGCTTTTGTTATAAGAACCTAGGTGGCATATAATAGATATAGAAAACATAGTAAAGAACCAGGGAATATATTTCCTTGGTTTAGATAATTTTATTGTCCTGCATATATTTTTTATTTGTTTATAATCTTGCCATTAGTAATCTTTTTGCTTATAAATTTTCTTTAACTTTCATTCAGAGAAGAGAAGAAGGTAACGCCTAGGAGGGCAACTGAGTAGCTCTGCATAAACTACATATGATTCTCTTAAGAAACAAATGCATTATTACCATATGTTGAAACTTCAAAACCTCATCTACAGAGTGACTGAACAACTCTGTCCCTGTTGCACTGGTGGCTTTGGTTTTGTCATATTATTTATCTCCATTCATGCTTCTCTTCTGAAGTATTTCTTGCTCACTCAAAGTTGTCTCTTTCATTGTTAATAAGTTATTGCATTATTAATTAATTCATTCATCACCATTTTCCAGGTGCCATGCTGGACCCTGGGGATACAAAGATAATAAATTCATCCCTTGCCTTTAAATTGCTCAACCATAATCAAAGATTTTTTTTCTATTCTACACACGTGCAAAAGGAAAACAAACCTTTTCCATTTTCTCTTGGTAGTTATGATACACTATATATTCATATTTACTTGCAAAACCAGGAAAATTTTGTTTTAAGAGTTCTGACACTTAAGCACTTTGTATTCCCCCTAGTTATTCAACATTCGTTTGGGGAATAGTCTCCTTAAGGAATAGGATCTTGAGATCAGTGTTCTGGTTTTTAGATTTCTTGTTCCTTTTCATTCTGTTTTCTAAGATGACATATTAACAAACAAATATTTAAACATCATAAAGGTTTACCTGACATTATGATTCTGGAGTACAATGGAGTTCTCTGGCTTAACACAACGTTTGAATGTAGGCTGCCTTAATTTCTTGAAATGTGTTCTTATCCAAGGCATTTTTCCCCTTTGCATATGGCTGTGGTTGATCTAGTTTTTGTTATCTCTTGGCATACTCAGGCCCAGTGGAATTTCTTGCTGACTAAGCCTCATCTTAGCCTTCATTGGCCTTAACAACTCTCTAAGGTCTGGCTTCAGAGGCCCATCTAGTTGTCCTTGGGTTGACTGCACCCTTGTTACCATGGCAATGCTCCTGTCAAGTTTACCAGTTCAGCTTTCAGGAACCTTGGAGTCTTTGTTGGATGGGAGGGATTAGAGAACAAAGTAGCCAAGGGAATCTTAAACAGATTGTTCTTTCTCTTCCTTACTATCTTGATGTCCCTCTGTCTCTGTCTCTGTCTCTCTGTGTGTCTCTCTGTATTTCCCTCTCTGTCTCTCTCTGCCTCTGTGTCTCTGACTGTGCTGGGGAGATATCACATAAGGCAATGTCCTCTTAGAGTTCATAGTAGGAAATGGAATTGCCTATTTTTACTCTCAGCCTTCCTTTCTACCTCTCTCACCTGCATCCTTTCTAGATCTTAGAAGACCAAGAGAAAAGAGGATGCACTTGCCTGCTTCTTTGACCTGTATTTCCTTCTTGTTCTCCAAATAGATTGAAGAGGATTTTTTTTCCCTGTAAGCCAGTGCTTATTAGTTATTCCCAGTAGGCACAAAATTAACAGAAAACCCCCAGGGGCTTATTTGTTCCTGTTATGCTGGATGTATGTCTTTTTTTTTTTGTCTTAGCATTTTGCAATTGAATACTAGTTCAGATTTCACATATATACTGCAAGTTCTTGTTTCTCCAAGCATGGTCTGTGGACTAAATCATGCTAACCTTGTTAGAAATGCAGAATTTTAATCTTCTCCCCCAACTACTGAATCATTTCAAGAAGTTATGCCAATATGCACACTGAAGCCACCATCGAGCTACTGAAAGTTTTGACTACATCAACTATACTCATAATTGGCATTCACTAAACACTTATTAATCACTTCCACATGTTAGCCAGTGGTGGTCCTTGCCCTTGGGTACTTAGGTTCCTAATCAGGGATCTTTATAATTTTGGTAAAGTAATTAAAATAAAACAGTTCTAGATCTAGTCTCCCTATCAACAGGTACACCTTAAATTTTTTGACAGGGCTATTAAGATTAAATTATGAGTTAATAAACCTAGAAAGGCATCTAATGTAGAAAGACAGGAGCAAGGTAGTAATAAAATTCTCAATTGAAAAATCCGTATTCACATCTGAGACCACTGCTTTGTAAGTACTGCCCCGTCACAGTTTGATAAGACTAGTATTTCTTTTAGGGAGACATTGGGGAGGGGCGTGGAGGAAGGAGGACAAAGTCATAGTTTTTCATCTTGCACTTTCATTTTCTGATCACAGTGTTTTAGAAGAATCCGGGCTTTACTTATTCACCAGGCTTTCAATAGAGAATCACATTAATCCTTTTAAGCTCCTTATTCTAATGATTTATTTTGTTGAAAACCATAGTGATCCTCCTTTGAATTTTAATGATTGCTGGCTATTCAAAGATTCATTGTTTTGACTTCCTGTCCTTACCTTTGTTTCCTACATGTCTGTGGGGAACACCTGTCTAATATTGGATCTGCCACTGGTTCTCACTGGCTTACCAGAGTCACTCAAGCCTATCTCTGAGTGTTAAGCTGAAATGCTGACTACCCATCCATGACAATAAATGTAGGATATATGTTTGCAGCAATAGGCAGATAGACAGCAGAGAGACAAGATAAATGATTGAGTCATTTTCTAATGAAAATAATATTTTGGATTTAGAAGTACATTCTTACCATCCTAGAAAAATTAGTTAAATTACTGATTTACTCAGAAATCTATTGAGATATCAAATATATCAAAAGTCTTTTAGGCAACAGAGCAGTACAAAATTTGAAAGTGCTATTCTTACCCCAAATCACAGACTGTAAAACCTCTAACAAATCACTGACCCTCCATTTTTCAGTCTGTTAAATGGCAATGCTCTTTTTCAAGGACGTAGTCTGGTCATTTTGTTCATAAAGTACAGCAAATGGAAATAGCTATGATATGTCTCAGGTAAGAGCTTTGGAATTACATGTTATGTTTTCAAAATCGAGGTGACAGTGTTACAGCCTTGAGTTCCTATTTTGCCCACTGTGTAACCACACAGAGATTTTTTTTCCTTCTCTTTTTATAGGTATTCACCTAGGAACAGCATGAGTTTTCAAGAATATATTATTCTAATATGAGATTTTAACAACTACATTGTATTTATGCATAATACATTTTGTCCCTTATCTTCAGGCTTCTGGACTTTGATTCAGAATATCAGGAGCTCTGGGATTGGCTGATTGACATGGAGTCCCTTGTGATGGACAGCCATGACCTGATGATGTCAGAGGAGCAGCAGCAGCATCTTTACAAGGTTAGAGCTACTCTTCTTGCTTTTACCTTGCTGTGGAAGATCTGATTAGCCTGACAAGTCTCTCTCTCTCTCTCTCTCTCTCTCTCTCTCTCTCTCTCTGTCTCTCTCAGGATATCTTTGTGTTCATTGTATATATCATGATGTCTATTAGAATTCCCTTCCCTGTCCCCAAACTCATTTCCATCCCTTGTGTGCTGACAGGCTGTACCGACATCATAATTGCAAGAAAGTTCCCTTTATCACATTCTATTTGGTGTAATTCTATAGAAGGACAAAGATTTATCTTTCAGATGAATAGCACTAAATGAAACTGCATTAATAAATAGACTGAAACAAAACGAAGGATAAATGGACTGGTAACATTTAACAAAATGTGTTTTGATTGAAACACTCAGGTGGATTATATCCACCTCACAGATCTTCCTAGAGGGAAAAATAAAGGAATTTGCCTTATTTTGGCTTGCTGCTACCAGAGTACAGAGCTTGACCAAGTTAAAGTTTATTAATGATACATAAAGGAAACATTGTCACATTAAGTCATTACATTTTCATATGATTTAAGAACACTGGCTAAGAACATACATATTGATTACAGGCATTCTATCTGATAACTATCTATAGTGCTTCTCTGGTCTGGTAATTACCTTTAGCCGAGTATATTTTACCAGTAGTCTCAGAAGTTCTCACCAAACAACCATTTGATTTTGAAAAAAAAAATGGTTACAAATTCATAATGTCTGAAAAAGCTGCTGGGGAGGGAAGAGGGAGTTTCTACTGAAATATCAGAGTGCAGTAAATCTTCCTCATTTAGGCAATTTTTATTGGAGTAATTCTGACAGTTGTCATCCTTGAATTGCTTTGAGCATATGGCATATTTCAAAGAGCAGATTGTGAATCATAAAAAATAAAATTAATAACTAACCACAGAATCAGCAACAGTATAATGACAAGAAACAACTACCCTCTAGCTTTTTAAAATTTCTTATGGAATTAAAAAGTACATTCAAGGTCAAATAAAAGTTACCTGATTTTCTTCTTTAATCTTACCATTCTAAGTTACCTTTCTTTAAAACTTATTTTACCTTTAACATCCTGTAAAGAGAGATGTTGATATATTTGGGGAACCTCGTAGACTTTAATTAGTGTCCCCCAGGAATCATCTTAGTTAAGAGAAGATATAAGCTCCCCAGGGACTCAGCAAATGGGGACATTTTATTCTCTTAAGAATTCTTTCTAACATTGATTCCATTTGTTAACTGTTAGCTGTTTCTTGTATGGATAGCTGTCCACATTAACAACAAGGCTATCCAATATATCTTGTAGAGTAACATATTGTTAGAGTAATAGTCTCAAACTAGTTAAAACTAGGTGATTTCACATTTCATGTGAGGACAAGGAATGCAAAAAATGCTTATAAATCTATATTAACTTAGTGATAGAAAAATATTTTCTTTCTAAGCCATTGTCTCAGAACTTATTGTACCCACAATGCCAAAGTAACACTTCTTTTCTTTTTGATGAATTTTTGTTTTGCACATAAGCCGCTATTTTTCAGAAACAGTGCTATTCTTTGTCAAAATCACATCCATGTAATTTACATCACAATTAATGGGAAATCACTGAACAAAACATGCAGTCTTCTTTTCCTTGTAAGTGCTTTGCCTGAGAATTCCGTCCTGGCATATTGAAGGTCATTATTCCACCCACTCAGTACTTATGGATTATAGTATTAAAAAAACCCAACATTTTCCATACTGTGGTTTTTGAAATCATGACTCATGTTTTCATTTGGGTTAGAAGGAAAATGAAACATTGAGTTCGAAATGCTATAGGTCTGTAAGGCCTTTTACATGAGCTCCCACATTATTCTAAATGTTTTGAAACCTCCAAAGCAATCTGAAGGTAATTAATAAGAAGTCATTTAGAAATTAGAGTGGCTTCTGAATTAGGAAAACTGACATGGGTGACATGGTTAATCTCAAGTTTTCCCCATGAATCTCTTAGAGATTTCTTGGTAGGCCAAAGTTTCTAGTACTCCATTCTTTTGTTTTCTTCTGCTTTTCCAGAAATCAACTGATGGGTTGTGTAGTATTTGTAGCTTATTGATTAACATGATCCTTGAAGGAGTAAAGCTTTCCCAAATGGACAATAGGCCTTTTGGGGTTTTATTTATTATTACTATTATTACTTTCTGTGTACCAGTCCTGGCCTTGAACTCAGTTGACTGAAAGACATTTCTGAGCTTTTATCCTCTATCACTGGAGCCAAAGATTTACTTCCAGTTTTTTCAGTAGTTAATTGGAGATAAAAGTCTTACAGGCTTTCTTGCCCAATCTGGCTCCAAACTTCAATCCTCATAACTCAGTTTTCTGAGTAGCTAGGATTAAGGCATGAGCCTCGAGTTAGGCTTTAAATACTATTTGAAGCTTCTTTAATCAGTTTTCATCTTTATATTTGTTGATCTTGTTATTGCTTATCTTCAATCCTTGTTAAGAGCACCATTGATATTTGGAGCAAGCAACCTTTTATTAGTTTGTGGGACCATCCTTTCCACTACAGAAAATTTGCTAGTCATGTTCCTTAGTCATGTGACAATTCAACCCATCTTATAGTGATTTCAATCTGTACTAACTTATCTGTATCATCTTCATTTCTCAAAACACTTGGCAACACCAAGACAAATGCCTAACATTTGTATTCTCTCTCTATATATAAATTTTATAATTGATTGCTGTGAAACTAACAATTGAATTTAAAATTTGGGAGCAGCTGGTCTACTCTGTGTGTTTGCTTGTTGGAATTTGGCTGATGGCAAGCTCTTCTGCAGAAGTAAACTTTGCCTTGCCAAGTTAAAAAAAATAAAAATAGAATTAAGTGGGTGAGGTATAGCTTAGTGTTAGAGCCCTTGCCTAGTATGGTTGAGACCTGGGTTGAACGTCTAGCAAAAAAAGAAAACCTTAAAAACTCAAGTATGGAAATAGAGCTAATAGATCTTCATCTGAGTGATGGTACCACCACAGGAAACTATGGACTCTTCCTGAATCATATTTCTACCATCAATGCTTTTGAAAATTTGTTTTCATTTCCCTGTGTGGTTCTCAGTATTTTATAACCTAGTTCCTTTCCTGTCACTGATCTGAACACTGAGACTCCTATTCATGCATTCCTATACTCTTAACTTGATCTCCATGGTATACATCTGGAAATGTCAGGTTAGAGAGAATATAGTAAGTTTTCTTAGTAGTAAGAGAGTAAAGCCGACTTAGCATTTTCAACAGTAGGCAATACTACTTTACTGACACTATCTATGGATTTTACTATTCTTATCTTTACTAGAAAAATCACCACCCTTTAACTTATAGATATGCAAATACAGATAAATACCCTAGGCTTATCAATTCTTCAGATCTCCCCGAGTTGGGATAGTTATGATATTTTGTTTATCTAAAGCAAAATACACAAGGAAAATCATTGGTATTGATAGGCAACACATTGACACAACCTTACACAATTTAGAAACCTTAATTCTGCTATGATTTTTTTTGGGGGGAGGGTCAGTCGTGGGGCCTGAACTCTGGGCCTGGGCGCTGTCCCTCAGCTCTTCAGCTCAAGGCTAGCACTCTACCACTTGAGTGTCAGCCCCACTTCCGGCTTTTTCTGCTTATGTGGTGCTGAGGAATCGAACCCAGGGCCTCATGCATGCAAGGCAAGCATTCTACCACCAAGCCACCTTCCCAGCCCCTCCGCTATGATTTTTGAAGTACATTTTCAGTTAAAATCATTTCTTGATATTTTTCAGATTGCTATAAATTTAAGACTCCTTTCTAATTAATAATAAGCCATGGAGTTTTTAGAGCAAGCCAATTCTTATTAAAATTTAATCATTCCCTTGAATATATTTTCTTCCTTGTTCAGAGACAATAAACCATACTCTCAATATTTTCCCTACTCTATCTTGTTTTACCTCTAAGCAGGAACTTCCCTTACCTATTTTCTAATAAACACTGGCACCATGGACAACCTAGGAAATGCAAACATTGTCCTTGCTCCTTTTCACTAACTTGGTCTAAGAATTGCTTCCAAGAAGAATTTGCTTCCACCATCTCACTTTCTTTCTCTTCATTCTTTCTACCTTCCTAAGTAGAACAATTTAATTTGTCAAAAGTAACCACTGCAATTCTTAAAGTTCAGCTCCTATTTGGACTAGAGTTACGAAGCCAGAATTCATAATCACAAGGAGCTGTCACTCTGCTGGTCTGCATGTGCATTAACTATTAATGGAGAAATATTTAAAACCCACTAGCAAAGGAAGAGCTCCATTCTTTTTCCTTTCTGCAGATCAAAGGTGGCATTATTCTTGGGTTGCGGAAACTCAATCACCTCCTCCCCATCCTATAAATTTTATAGACTGAAGTGACCTGGACATATTTCAGTGATCAGAGAGTTGCTTCTCCAGCTGCTGCTGCTGTCACTGCTGTCCCGTCCTCCCCAGTAGTCAGTACAGGTCAGTTTCACAGCTGACTTGTAGTACTTCAAAAGTGTGTCCTGTCTGGGGCCACTGACCTCTGCGCCAAGTACTGATGATTCAGTGCTACCTACATGCAGATCACAGAACTCGCAAGGATCCCTATTGATGTGCCATTCCAGAGTCCAAGGGTTGATGCCAAGGGCCAAATGCAGAAGTTGCAGTATTTGTGATGATAGTTACAATTGCACTAGAGTTGTTTCAGATAGCAGGAAGCTCACTAAAATACTAAATTTGTAGATTCGTTCCTTGAGTGGATCCCTTGGTTGCTCCACATCGATAAAATACTAACTTTAGGATTTCTAAGAGGTCAAAAATAACTCTTCCAGCTTAACAATATGAAATAAATACCCGCCACACTGGGACCTTTTTAATTCTAGAGAACTCATTTTGAAATTTTATACTTAATTTTACATTAATTCTGCATTTTATGGGAACAATTCAGGTTTACTTTACATTTCTCCATTAGCATAAT